TACAAACTATATATTCATTTTGCAAAAAAAAAATACACAAAATTTTCAAAATACGTATAAACTTTTTAGTCGTCTATCCACCAACTAGTTCATAAAATTTTGTATTTCCAAAAAAAAAAAAAAAAATATATATTGAATTAGAAACATATTAAACTTATTCATTCCATGAACAAATAATGACTTTGCATCACTAGTTGCCACACATAGTTACAAGCTTATACAGTTTTTTTTAATGATGTGGTATTACTACCTGGAGTAACTTATAAGAGTTAGGAAAGCTAACCCTGTGCTATAGACAGATTTTTAAATGTTTGTCCATTCCAAGCAATCGAGATACAGTAATGTTGTAATAACTGAGTTAAAAGCTCTCGTTCATCCAACATTTCTATATGCTCGATTTGACTACGGTCAGATTGCGACAGTGAATCATAGACCTCTACCATGGTCCATGCATTAGAGCCTTCCCAATCATTTAGTGTAAATCTGAAAAATAGTCATTGAACATTATTGCTCTAGCAAATTAAATTAAACATAACAGATTTATAAGTACAACAAATGAATATGTATACCGTCTTTGTTGAGTTTCCAAAGACTCACAGTCTTCTACACCTGCTAACAAACATCCACGACTACGTAAATTAGACAACATAACTTGCCCAAACTTATCTTTCATGTTCACTTGTTCATAATTAATGAAAATACTATTTGGAAATTTCGCAGCAAGCCATTTTAATAATGCAGAAGCTGCATTTGGGTCTATATACACTAAGACACATTCTGCAAGGAACATAGTTGGTAAATTAAAATTAACTTCTCCTTGTGTTAATTTATTAGTAAGTTCAGATATGTGCCGCAAATCGGTTCCCATGACATGATAATTGGCGGCATGCAAATCTGTTGTTGAAAACCTAATTTCTCCATCTATAAAAAGTACATAATTAATAGCAATAATTAATTTTTACATAATAAAAATATAATACTTTGGATCAGAAATGTAACCTTCTGTATTCAACATATCTATCAACTGTTTGTTCTTCTTGATGTGATAGCATTTTCTAGCAGTAATACTTGGAAAATCAAGCTCTATAAAATTTGCTGGACATTTCCCTGTTTCTTTAAGTCTCCAATAAAGTGTATCAAATCCAGCACCCAAGTTTATGATTTGGCTTTTCTCACCAGACAACTATATGAATGAAATAAGTTAATTTTTTCTATGAATATTATATATCAAATTAACTCAAATGTATATTTGTAACACTTGTTACATTATGAAATACTATCTTCATTCTAAAATTTAACTATTATTATATTATAATAAATTACTAATAAAATCTGGCCAAAAATCCTTCAAGTGTTGATTATTAACGTAACACATGTAATATGTGTAAGTAATACTATACACATTGCATGTTGTAACTGTTCATTATATTAGATGTCTTCAATAATATACCTGCTGTTGTAGGATTAATAATTTATGTTTCACAATATGTTTGAAATACTATTATTTTCATAATAAACATCCTATTAATTAATAAGTATTATTCTTAGAATTCGTTAAGGATTAGAGCTGCATTTCAAAAATGATTTATTATTTTAATAAAAAAAAATAAAAAAGCAAAGTTCGACAGTAATGCACGAGATCAACCTATATTGTTGTTTCACGATAAAAGAGGGGGGACCTCAGAAATTAGGACAGGGCCTCGGTCAGGTCAAGGTTTCCAGCACTGCACACATCTTTCGCTACTCGAATCAGCTGTATCCCGGATTGTTTCTACATGTTTCTAGGTTATGCGAATCTTGATCGCGGAATTAACGAGATAACCACGTAGAATAGATCAAAGACACGTACCTTAAGAAATTTGTCGACAAACACCTCAATCCCTTTCACTCTCGCATAATAACCGCGGTTGATTTCAGGTGCTTTTCGTCCGGCTTGTTTCACGAAGAAGTTGATAAATGGATCGGACCAGTAACCAAGTTGCACCGCGTACCTCTTACACTCACTCGCATCATCGTTTGTGGCCTGTATGGCCCCATCATCAGCCATATCTTTAATCATTACACCGACTTCGGTTCACCTCAGTTATGACAAATCATTATTTCGCGTTTTATTCTTTAGCCAAGAACACCGTACTACCTCACTACTCACGGAAGAAAACCTGCACAAACGACCATACTGGCTATAACTGTTATATGTGTGTGTGTGTGTGTGTGTGTGTGTGTGTGTGTGTGTGCGTGTGTGTGTGTGTGTGTACACTGTACATATATATTCGCATTCACTTGCGGCGCAGGCTCGTGTTACTGCGCGGGTTTCCTGCTAGTGGGGGCATTTCGTAACCCAGACCTAGCGCAGTAGTACATATTCCCTCCGCGGTGTCGCGCAATTCGGGTGACTCAATGAGACGCCATAGAGAACAGAAAAAGTCTCTCTTTGACCTGATTGGTTGATGGCTCTTACAGTCAGAAATACAGTTGCGCGAGTGAGAGAGAAATATACATACGTTTCATGTATATACTAGGTATCTCAAAAATATTGTAGGTCTTGAAAAAGATAATTCCTACACAGTCATTTGAAGTACATAACTTTTTCCTTGGCCAAAATGTTTTCCGCGGTTTTGATAACGAGTTATTAACGAAAATATGAACCAATCGATGAGCAAGAATGGCTTACAAATTCTGACATGATGACACGCTGCGACACCCTGTATATAAGAAGCAAAAGCTTACTTCGGTTCTACCTTCCTTTATTTTTTTGTAATTTGCTCACTACTACATGCGCAATGCTATGGTAGGGGTAGGGATATAAAACGTGACGCTGAAGAAATTGCCAGAAGTCGCCAAATGCATTCCTGCGGAGGGAATTATATTTTTAACTTATTTCAAATTATCATTTTTAATGAAAAATTAATATAATATTCTCCATTATTTCATAAAAGATTGTATTTTATTAAAATTTTAAACTTTAGTTATGCTTCATTATTATTAAATTTCATAATATTTGTTAAATTTACGTATGTTTACTGTTACTGGATTAATTTTATAAACAATTATTGAGATACAGATTTTAATAAAACTCGATACAGCCTTACTGTTAATTTATTTAAATTATGAACTTTTAAAGAAATTAAATTTTATATGATGCAAGTTTCCCAAAATTAGTCTATGAAAATATAAGACTGCTCCTCCAGTCTATTTAACGTTTAAACTATATT